TGCTCGGGCTAATCTTTATATTTTTAGTAGAGATTGTGTCCTGGACGCACGGTTTCCCAGGCTCGGTTCTGCTAGAAAACCTTTGGGCTCAAGGCGCAGTCGCCACCTGTCTGCCGCCGCTCCCAAAGTGCTGGGAATTATAGGTATGAGGCAGTTGTGCGTGGACCCATATTTTTTCATAATATAAGTTTTGTACTTCTTCTGTTAAATTTATTTTTTAGCATTTGTTTTTGATCCTATTGTAAATTGCTTTCTTTAATTATTTTTGAATTTTGGATTTTTTATAGCTAGAATATAGAAATTTAATTGCTTTTTGCATATTCATCTTATATCCTGTAACCTTGCATAACTCATTTTTTAGTTATAACATGTATTTCTTTTCAAATTTTGAAATAACATGTATGTGATAAAAAGGTCAAATAGTACCCAAGGGAATATAAGGAAAAGTGAATCTTCTGCCCTCTCACCCCTGCTCCCACTAAACTAAACTATTGTTTAGTTTTTCTTAAGCTGTTTCAAGCTGAAGAAAGAAGTGAGATATTAAAAAACAGTACTTCACTGTTAGCTAAATATCTTTTTTGTAGACAGGGTCTTACTCCATAACCCAGGCTGGAGCGCAGTGGTGCAATCATAGCTCACTGCAGCCTCAGCCTCCTGGGCTCAAGCAGTCCTCCCACTTCAGCCTCCTGAGTAGCTGGGACCACAGGTGTGCACCACCATGCCTGGCTAATTTTTTTAATTTTAATTTTTGTAGAGGTAAGGTCTCCCTATGTTGCCCAGGCCAATCTTGAACTCATGGGCTCAAGCAATCCTCCCACCTCAGCCTCCCAAAGTGCTGGGATTACAGGCGTGAGCCACCGCACTGGGCCGCCTTTTACTATTGCCCTTGTGCTTATTTTTTTCTTTTTGAAGGATTATATATAAGTCAACTAGACTCCCTAGTTTATTCTATTTTTACTTATACTGTTAAGAAAATGAGACTTGGAATGTGAAACAGATGTGATTCCTGATCTGATTCTGTCTTCAGGGGACAGAAAAACCTTTGGTGTGGCAGAAAGACGTGGGTGTTTGGGTGTTTATACCTGGAAGAGATTTCTTACCCCTAACGTGGTCTTTGTTGAGACAAATGAAAAATAGTGCATGGCTACAGACTAGGTTTGTGCCCATGAGGACTGGAAGAAAGTTACTGATGATTAATGTTTGACTTTACCCTTACTCTTTTAACCCCAGTTGGGTCTTATCCTGGATTCTTTCTATTTTTAACTGCTTCTGTTAGCATGCTTTAAATGTGAGAGTTTTAATCGTTTGCTGCGCTTGTGGGCAAACAGTAAATGGTCAGATAAACACCAGAGAATATCAGAAAATTAACAGGTTTCAAATTGCTATTTGTAAACCTAAAGGCTAAAAGTAATATGATTAAATAGGCAAGTATATGTGGTCATTAAAATTTAAGTAGGCAAACAATCAGATAATTGTATGTTGTATATTATCCTGATCTCTTTCAGCACAGTGTTATCTCTGGGAATAAATTATTAGATATATAAATTACTTTTATCTCTGAAACATCATGTTGAGTTTACCAATATTACAGCCAGCCAACCCCCCAAAGCTTTCTGTTTGCCATAGTTTAATTTACTAAAGAATATATAAATACCAGTGAGGGACAGGACAAATTCAAAGAGGCATTTGAACCCAAAATTATTTCTTAAAACCGCTTGAGTTAAATATATTCAAGGAAAAATTCATGTATGAGTTCTTTTTCTTTTCTTTTAATTGAGAGGACCAACCATGTGGCTGGAGGAGAGCAGTAGGGCTTCAAAATACAAGACTTAGTTTTGAAGGGGTGGGAGTGCCAGGCAGAGGACTAGGAGAGGCTGGTCATGAACCAGAGTGCTGTGTCCTGGACAACCTCCTTGTTAGATGGGCAGAGGTGTAGGCACTCTAGAGACCCTCCTGGAGAACCCTGCTGAGAGGTTCCTTGGCTATGGTAGAGCCACCGATAATTCTTCCTTAGGGCAGGTGTTCAAGGCAGGCCGACTTTATTGGCTCCATGCCACAGCAAGTTCTCTGAGCTCAGTGGGCCTCAGTTTCTTTATATGTGAAATGGGGATGGTGGTGTTTGCCTCAAAGTATAGTTTTAAAGACTAAATAAGTTATCATTATTACTATTATTTTTTTTTAGAAACAGGGTCGTGCTCTGTTACCCAGGCTGGAGTGCAGCAGCGCAATCTTGGCTCACTGTAGCCTCGAGTTCCTGGCCTCAAGTGATCTTTCCTCCTTGGTCTCCCAAAGTACTAGGATTACAGGCATGTGCCACTGCACCTAGCCTGAGTATGTTTTTAAGATGAGCTTACTTGCTCAGTAACAATAAAATAATATATTTTGATTTCTTTTTTTTTTTTTCCCCCCCAGAAAGTCTGTTGTCAGTGATCATGAAAAAGCTTTGGGATGCAGTGTGCAAGCTTTCATTTGTTTTGTTTTCATGCCTTCAAACAAAATTTTAAAACTATCTGGGCCGGGCCTGGTGGCTCACACCTGTAATCCCAGCACTTTGGGAGGCTGAGGCAGGTGGATCACCCGAGGTCAGGAGTTCGAGACCAACCTAGCCAACATGGTGAAACCCCGTCTCTACTAAAAATACAAATATTAGCTGGGCATGTTGGTGGGCACCTGTAATCCCAGCTACTCGGGAGGCTAAGGCAGGAGAATCGCTTGAACCTAGGAGTTGGAGCTTGCAGTGAGCCGAAATCACGCCACTGCACTCCAGCCTGGGCGACAAGGGCAAGATGCCGTCTTAAACAAACAAATAAACAAAAAAACTGTTTGAACTTAAACCCCAATAATAGTAGATATTTTATTTTCCAATCAGTTGTGTCTACAGAATTGTCTACAAAATGTCTTTTGATATGACAATGGCTGAGAATTCTTTGACAGGTTTTACAACTCAGATTCTTTCTCAAAGAATCTTGTTTACCTTCCATAGCCCCTTTGTTTATTGAAAGCAAAATATTCTTAGTTCCCTTGAACCCCAGTGTTCCTGCCATTCTGGATGTCTCTGTGCTGTGGCGTGGGGCCCTTTTTGGGGTGGGATTCCCCAGCACATAGCCTGCTAATACATAAGGAGGTGGTACTCCCATTGAGTCTATTTGGCATCAATCAGCAGGCAGGTTTGCACTGAGTAGTACTAAACCCAGCTTGCCCAAGTTATTGTGGTGGTTATTCTTTTAAAAGCATCATCTTTTTTTGGTTTCCTGGCCTAAAATTTCAGAAGCAGGAAGTGGGGGTTGTGGATGGTGAGTATAAGAGGGGCTAAACCTGATTGTCCTGGCTTGAAGTAATAGCGGGAATAATAGGCTTGTCAACTTTGATCCCAGCTGTTACCTTCTACTTACCAGCCTCTCTGCTGAACCAGTTGGAATTTGGTGGGGACTCCTCTGAACGGCTTTTCTGAGTCCTCACTCTCAGGATACTAGTAGATGTGTCCAACAAGTATCTCCCATTCCCAGCAGGGATCCTTTTGATTCTTGGCCTTCCCAAGAGCCTCAGGCCTGGGACTGGCCACTTGGGTCCAAGCAGTGTCTCTAGTTTGGCATCATTGGACTACTCCAAGGAGCAGGACTCTCAGCTGTTATGAGTGATGCTAGGAGCCAGGCACAGTGGCTCACGCCTATAATTCTAGCACTTTGGAAGGCCGAGGCAGGTGGATTGCTTGAGCCCAGGAGTTTGAGACTAGCCTGGGCAACACAGGGAAACCCCGTCTCTACTAAAAATACAAAAATTAGCTGGGTACAGTGGCATGCACCTGTGGTCCCAGCTACTCAGGAGGCTGAGGCAGGAGGATTTCTTGAGTCTGGGAGGTCAAGGCTGCAGTGAGCTGAGATTGGGCCACTGCACTCCAGCCTGGGTGACAGAACGAGACCCCTGCCTCCAAAAAAAAAAAAAAAAAAACCAGGTTCGGGCCGCGTGCTCAAACGCCTTGGTAATCCAGCCCCACTTTGGGATGTCAAGCAAGGTGGACACCCTTGAAGGTCGAGGAGTTTCAAGACCAAGCCTGACCCAACATGGAGAAAACCCCCGTCCCTACTAAAAATACAAAATTAAAGCGGGAGTGGTGGCACATGCCGTAATCCCACTACTCGGGTGGCTGAGGCAGAGAATTGCTTGAACCCGGGAGGCGAGGTTGCGGTTGCAGCAGAGATCCGCGCCATGCACCTCCAGCCCGGGCAAAAAGACAAAACCTCAGGCCCGGGCGCGGTGGCTCAAGCCCTGAATCCCAGCAACTTAATCCCGCCACTTTGGGAGGCGAGACCGCAAAATTCACGAGGTCAGGAGATCGAGACCGAATCCTGGCATAACTGGGTGAAACCCGTCCTCTACTAAAAAAAATACCAAAAAAACTAGCGGGCGAGGTGGCGGGCGCTCTGTATCCAGCTACTCGGGAGGCTGAGGCAGGAGAATGGCGTAAGAACCTGGGAGACGGAGCTGCAGTGAAGCTGAGATCCGGCACTGCACTCCAGCCCTGGGTGAACAGAAGTGAGACTCTGTCCTCACAAAAAAAAAAAGCGAAACTCTGTCTAAAAAAAACAAACAAACAATAAAACCACTTCACACACACAAAAGTGATGCTAGGGAAGCTTTGGCAGAGGAATAGGACTTGCCCTAAGTGGAAGGTGGGGTGGTGTTCTCTGCGAAATGGAAATCACACGCCCTTTGGGAGGGGGCTTTTGTGCACAGAATACATATATGAACCATAAAGAAGTCCCATTTCCCCTCCCTAGGTTCTCTTCATACAAGAAATGGTAGTTAGCTCCATTGTTTCTCTGAATATTTTTCTTTGTTTTCTTTCTTGAAGGACTGCCACCAACTCCTGTCCAGCTGCTCTATCCAGTGTCCCGATTCAGCAATGTCAAATCCCTCCAGCACCTTTGCAGATTCCGGATACGACAGCTCGTCAGGATAGATCACATCCCAGATCTCCCACTGCCTAAGTACAATGGGGTTCTTAGGGTTGGGACAGGAATGAGTAAGGGGGTTGTGGGGAGGTAACAAATGTCAGTGAGGCCTGCAAGCTACCTTCACAGGCAGAGTCTGGCATAAAATATTTGCAGACATCATTCTTTCACATTTCTTGTGTCTTAGCACCTAACTTTAGAACTGTCATATTGCAGCCAGAGGGAGGAAGGTGTGTGTGTCAGCCTCCCTTCTGCAGAATAGAGTAGAAGTGGTAAGGGTAAGGAAGACAGAACTATAGTAACTGAGAAAATGGGAATTGTGTTAGGTGTCTACCATGTAGGGAATGAAGAAGAGTTGAACAAAGGAGTTACTTCTTTTATATTTTGCATAAAAACCTTTTGTGTATATCCCTCATTTGTTTTTCACAGACCTCTGATCTCTTATATCCGAAAGTTCTACTACTATGATCCTCAGGAAGAGGTATACCTGTCTCTAAAGGAAGCGCAGCTCATTTCCAAACAGAAGCAAGAGGTGGAACCTTCCACGTAGCGAGGGGCTCCCTGCTGGTCGCCACCAAGGGTATGAGCTCTCCGCCTCACTGCCCAGCCACATTTCTTACTGGGCAGTCATCATCATGCATTGAGCCTTGGGCACCCTCCCTGCATCTCCCAACATGGATAGCCCCGATCCAAGCATTTGCCCATAGAATGGCAAGATCTGACTGTGGAGTCCCCAAGGGGCACACACCCCATTTGGGAGGAAAGCAGACAGACATGAAAGCAGATTGCCAGGAAATGTGCAAGCTAATCACTGAATGTGAGCAAGGAGGGGGACACCCAAGTGTAGCTAAGAGTGCAGTCTCTGGCAAGGAGAGGGTAATTGAAAAAAATAAAAAGAAGAGTGCAGCCTCCTCTCATAAGGACTTGGGCTGATCTCCCTGATACCACACAATTGGCATATAAAGCAGGAAGCTAAAGGGAAAGGAAACTTCATCAAAGAGAACACAAACATGCCTTTAATTGCAACAGGCATGCACTTGAGTGAGACTCCACCATGTCCCACAGCTTGGAATATGGGGATGAAGAAAAACAGCCCACTCTTCTATTTAGAGTTCCATTTGGGCCATTACAAAGTAAATTGTTGAAGAGAATAAGTGAATTAACTAAGGAATTCATTTATCTACGAGGCTCTTCTCCCATCATTATACAGTTCTACTCATTTATTTTCCCATAAAATATCTTGCAATACTGGTTTGTGCAGATGAATTCCAATTAGTCTTTTAAATTGCACTAAAGTGAACATTATGGGGCCAAGTTCCTGAGTAGGGAACACAATTGCCAGGGAGCCGTGACTTTGGTGGTGGTGGTGAAAAGCAAGATTGACTGCCAGTGTGCAATGACTGCTTTCTTCTGGTGTGAATCCTGGAGTAGATGTACAGTCTCATCATTTCTTCAATTATATGCAAATTATATGCAAATTCTATGCCTTTGGAAGTGACTAAACATCTAATGTCTGGTGTCTAGGTGGATTTCTCTGCATGATGGCTTTGCACTTGAGATTAGGCTGAGAGGTAGAGCACTAGGGAGGTCCACCTACCTGACTACCCTTGAAGAGTAATTAGGCCATTCAGTTAGAGGACCACGTCTGTGGGTGCAGTGCTGTAGAAGAACCCACATAAACAGGGAGCACATTCAGAGAAGGGCCTTGTAGCATTGGAGAGCTCAAACTTCATCATATAGGAATAAATGGCCTAGAAAGAAATGTGATTAACCGGGAGCATGGAGGTTTTAGGGAGGGATAGCTGAAAGATGCATTTGATGGGTTTTCCTGAGAAAGAGAGTGATTAACTTCCTCTCTGTGGTTCCAGTGGGGAGGAAGTTCAGCATTACCCTTATTCTTTGCCACAGGCAACAATCCTGATGTCACAGCAAAAAGAGATCCTGAGGGTTCAGTTCAAACCTTTGCCAGTGCATGACTGCTCCCAACACTCAAGACAAGTGGCTCCCCACCGGCCTGTTCCTGATCATGCCACACCCTTTCCAGCTGAGGCAGGGCCTTTATACCTCTAGGTCCCCTTGCCCAGAATGCTCTGCTCCAAGGCCTTCCCATATCACAGCAAAAAGAGACATGGACAAGGACCAAAATGAATGTAAGTTACAGGGAACTAGATTTCAGTCCAACTTTAGAAGAACGTTTTTAGCAGAGAGGTCCAAAACTGGGATGCTTTTCCTCAAGAGCTTCCATTCAGCAGATAGCTGTATATTTGTGTTTGTTCGGCACCCAGTGTGAATTGAGAATAGAGTGCTGAGCAAAGCAAAGGCCCTGTTCTCACTAAGCTTCCCTTCTAAGGAAAGACAGGCAACAAACACGAACATAAATGAATGGGCTAATTTCAGGTGACTGTATAGTGTTGTGAGGAAAATAAAACTGGGTAAAGTTTAGTGATTAGTAGTGGGGTACTCCTCAAGTTTAGATAGTCAGGGAGAGACTTGCAAGGAGGTGCCATTTCAGCTGAAACCCGAATATCAAGGAGCCAGCCATGGGAGTGCCTTGGAGCAGAACATTCTGGGCAAGGGGACCTAGAGGTATAAAGGCCCTGCCTCAGCTGAGAGGGACGTGGCATGATCGGGAACAGGCCAGTGGGTAGCCATTTGTCTTGAGTGTTGGGGGCAGTCATATATTGGCAAAGGTTTGAACTGAACTCCCAGGATCCCTTTTTGCTGTGACATCAGGATTGATGCCTGTAGCAAAGAATAAGCGTAATGCTGAACTTGCTCCTGCTGTAGATCCTAGGAGCCCTGGAAAAGGGGGCTGTAACACTTCCCAAGGGAAAGGTCTTTTTTTTTTTTTTTTGAGATGGGGTTTTGCTCTTGTTGCCCAGGCTGGAGCGCGATGGTGTGATCTTGGCTCACTGCAACCTCCATCTCCTGGGTTCAAGCAATTCTCACACCTCAGCCTCCCAAGTAGCTGGGATTACAGGTGTGCACCACCACACCCAGCTAATTTTGTATTTTTAGTAGAGATGGTGTTTCTCCATGTTCGTCAGGTGGGTCTCGAACTCCTGACCGCACTCAAGTGATCCACCCACCTTGGCCTCCCAAAGTTCTGGGATTACAGGCATGAGCCACTGTGCCCCGTCGGGAAAGGTCTTTAGGGTATGAAATTTGGTCTTTTATGACTTCTGGTTGTTCAGACTGATTTTAATTTGGGAGTTCTGAATGGCCTGCTTGGTCTGTGTGTGCTGTTACCTGTGGAATTTCATGCCAGGGGGTTTGGAGTCAGGCTACAGAGTAATGGCGAGAACAGTGCCTGTCTCAAGTCGGAAGGTGGACGCAACAGTGGCCTTTGTGATTCTGTGTCAACCCTGTCCAGTTGACAGAAGCTGCAGAAATATAGAGCTCTCTGGCCAGGTGTGGTGGCTCACGTCTGTAATCCTAGCAGTTTGGGAGGCTGAAGCGGGCAGATCACGAGGTCAGGAGTTTGAGACCAGCCTGGCCAACATGGTGAAACCCTGTCTCTACTAAAAATACAAAAATTAGCCAGGCTTGGTGGCACACGCCTGTCCAGCTACTTGGGAGGCTGAGGCAGGAGAATCGCTTGAACCCAGGAAGCAGAGATTGCAGTGAGCCGAGATCATGCCATTGCACTCCAGCCTGGGTGACAGAGTGAGACTCCGTCTCAAACAAAACAAAACAAAAAAAGAAATATAGAGCTCTTTCTAGCCAGGTTCAAAAGGGATTACTCCAGGGGCTCACTTCCCTTTTCAGTCCCTAGAGCAATTCAGCCTCAGGGAAAAAGTGGGTAGGAAATGAAGGGGTAAGGGAAAGGGAAAGAGAGAATTTATGCAATGTGGTAGGATATATTTATTAGTTATTTCGGGACCTTGTTTTGTCATCCAAGTCATAGGCTGCTCAGGTCCCCTGACAAAGGCCACTGCTGCATCCCTAGTCACATGTGGCCCTCGTGGAAGCATTCAGCTCTCCAGGCTCCATTCTCCTTTTGAGGTGTGTTGCTCCACTTCCAGTGCCTGGCTGTTCTTTCACTCCATTTTGGTTCTATTCTGTTTAACTGTTTTAATTTTTTTTCCTTTTTTACCTAGGCATTTGGTTGCCAAGCTCCAGCTTTGAAGAACCAAATTAAGCTACCATGAAAAGAAGAGGAAAAGTGAGGGAACGGGAAGATTGGGATTCTCTGTTCAGAGACTTCGGTTCCCCACGCAGCCCTGGGGCTTGGAAGAAGCACATGACCATACTCTGCGTGGGGCTCCACCTCATACCCACCCCTGGGCATCTTGGGACTGGAGGGGCTCCTTGGAAAACTGGAAGAAGTCTCAACACTGTTTCTTTTTCAGAAGTTTTGTTTTTGATATTTGTATTACTTGGTATGGAAAACTCACCTTGAAGGCAGCTGGGGTTTGTGCCCATTAGATTGAAAGTGGTATGAAGGGTGAGCAGGTCCAAAGAAGGGGTGGGAGGAGGGGACGGGACGGCCATTCAGCTGGTGCCAAAGGCAGAGTTAGAGTCTGTGCCGTGGGCCTGGAAGATGGGAGGAAGGGCCTGAGGTTTGCAAAGGACTGAGAGTTCCTGAGGGAGGGGGAGTCTGCTTCTTGTTGCCATGGGCAGCTGTGGTAGGAGCAGAAGAGAAAGGAGGGTAGGTGGTCTCGAAAACAATATTGGGCAAAACCTGGCAATTGGCCTTAGCTGGGGGAAGTAGTGACTCCTGCATCCTTTTTTAAGGTTTAGGAATCTGAGTTCAGAAACACCTCTCATGGAAGCTGTACTAGTTGTCATTTACTTAATTCCTTAAGTTCCATGACCTGAAGTTAACCCATTCTTTCTCTGCTCTCAACCCATTCCCCCTTGAGATAACTGTACATGTCACTCTGGTCATGGTAACGGCATCCCTATTGCTTCTGCCGGCTGTCAAGGCAATCGTTTTTCTCATCACCTGGGCGGTTCAGAGCCAATCATGGGCTGCTGAATTTAATGGAGCGTGCTTCCAGGTTCTTCATGGCAAACTGTACTCATGACTTAGGAGTCAGTGTTACTTCTATATGCCTGTCAGCTTATGAGGGGGAATGTGGAGGAAGGTGAGAAATGCAGCTCCCACAGTTGTGCTCTTCCTAGAGAAAGCTCTCAGAACGCAGCCCTCACAGGATTTCCTTAGGTCAGAGGAGAGCATCGCATCTCGTGTTTTTAGGTTTATCACTGCTGTCCGACTTCTGAGATGGGAGGTAGCAAGGGCTTCTATATTTTCCTGTGTTCATTCTAGCAACCCAGACATTTCCAGATCAGAGCTTGCTGGTCTCCACTCACTGGAAAGTGTGTCAGGTGCCGATTTGAGAGCTGCCTGTCTTCTGGCTCTCAGGAGGAGTGGGCAGAAAAACTCCAATGGTCTTTAATGGTTTCTGCAGCTGGCCATGGCCAATTCATATGACGCTGTGAGTTTGCTTTCTTGTAGAGCTGCTCTGGGGAGAGGTTTGCTATTGAGATGTAACAGTGGAGCTGTTGGGTCTTCATGACTCCTTTGCGTGTGTTCTGTGAGACTCTTTCTGGGTTCCCCATGCTTATAGCTGCCTCATCTCACAAGATACTAATGTCAGGTTTGTGGTTTCCTGATGGTTTGGGTGGGGCCCCAGTGTCTTGGTAATTTATAGGACCACCTCATCTGGGAGCATTGCCTTCTTAGTCCTGCATGTAATGACCAGTCTTCCTCCTTGTAGCTGAACAGGGAGGAAACTTGCACCATTACCTGACCATGGAGGGGCGGCCCACAAGATGAGCTTTGCACCATAAACACAGCCCACCTCTGATTTGTCATATGGTACCTCTTCTTTTCTTGGCTTCCATGGTAGCATTACCAACTATTACCAATTAAGCAAGATTATGATCCCAGAAATTGGCTTAGCATGTGAGTGTTGCCTCTTGAGAGTACAAGTGATATAACTCGCCATCTTGCAGGAAGTGCCACCCTGATACAGAGCCTGAAGTCTGGAATCCATTGAGATCCTTGGGTGGCGGATATGCAGCCTGGAGCTTTCTTTTTTTTGTTCCTTTTCAACCACTCATAATTTTAAGATTATTTTTTAGTGTGTGTGTGCCTGGCTTTGTGCTAGATGCTATAGAAAACAAAAAAGGTAAAAGACGTAATCTGTGGCCTAAGGGAGCTTTTAGGTGACTGCTGCACATCAAGCAGAAAATCAAGGACCATCTAAAGACATTTGTAGTGGATAAGATCAGGGTAGAACAGATGGTCTGGGAAAGTTCTGTGCCTCTGAGGTTTTGGGTTGTAGTTAATGGCAGGACAGACAGTGAGATGAGAAACACATGAACAAAAGCAAGGAAACAGAAATCTGCATGGCATGTACTGAACAGTGCACAGCCCTGTTAGAGCTACATGGTTAAAGAATCCTTTCCAGTGCAGTTGTCTAGATGGAAGCTTCTCAGCCACCAGGCAGACCTGAGTGCCGAGGGTTTATGCTGGTTAGGTGGAGCCCAAAGCCCAAAGGAGTCAGCAAGGCTTCTGCCCATTGCCAGGGCCTCGCTGTGGTCAGCTCAGGCCATGTGAGGGAGGCGGAACCTGCACACACCTTATGTTACTGGGGTTTCTTCTGGAGAACTCATACACTCAGGTACAAAACAAACCAACTGAGGAGGTGTGACCCAACCTCACCACCCACCTTTCTTCTCCTGGGGAGGGTCGTGTTGAACTGTGTCTGTGATCTGTCGGTGCACTGGTCCCAGCCCTGGCTGCAGCCTAGTCCTTCCTCTGTGGAGTGGGCTGCAAAACAGCAGTGCAAGAGGAGACAGGTGTGGGTGTTTGGTGCCTGCATGGGTGGCCTTGCACAGAGCAGTTAGAGGAAGATGAGGAGGAGGCATGGGGCTGCACCAGCTCTCTGGGATGCAGCCTGGTCAGAGAGTAAATGGAGCAGAGGAACAGGTGCAGCAGCTGGGGTAGCACCTGCCCTTCACCTCCCCAACCAGGCCCACGCCTCCTTCACCAGTGCTGTGTAGAGCTCATTTAAATGTATTCCTTTCTAGGTCTGGGCGCAGTGGCTCACGCCTGTAATCCCAGCACTTTGGGAGGCTGAGGTGGGCGGATCACGAGGTTGGGAGTTCAAGACCAGCTTGGCCAAATAGTGAAACCCCATCTCTACTGACATACAAAAATAAGCTGGGCATGGTGGCCTGTACTTGTAGTCCCAGCTACTCGGGAGCCTGAGACAAGAGAATCATTTGAACCCAGGAGGCGGATGTTGCAGTGACCTGAGATCGCTCCACTACCCTCCAGCCTGGGCGACAGAGCAAGACTCCATCTCAAAAAAAAAAAATTTCCTTTCTAGTTGTATTTTCAAGTCACAAATTGGAAAAGGCTTACATCTAGAGACCCACTATTGATTTCTAAGTTGTGGGTGGGTGAGACTAGTGGCTTCAGTGCCTGTATAACCCTCACCTGTTTATGACTGATCTACTGTAACCTTCCTCAGGTTGAGAGCCAGTGTGAGCCAGTGACAACTACTGCTACAACTTGCTGTTACTTGAAATTTGTGTGCTATGTTAGGAGCATAGGAGTAGGCGGGTGGGGGTTTTGGTGTGGGCACTAGATAAGTGGGTGGCAGCTGGCTCTTTGGAACCATTGGTGCTGACCTTGGCCTGGTCACCTTTTACTTTACCTAGGTAAAGTGAATGTTACATCCTGGAACCTGAGCCGTGGAGGTGGCACCGCCTCCCTGAGGAGAAAGGTGTGACCAAGGGAAGCTCCCGCATGGCTCCTGCTCCTTCCACTTCCCTACATTTCACTTGGGCTAATCATGTAAGCCCCCCTTGAGGTTGGGGATGGTGTGGAGATAGCTGCAGACACCCCTGTAACAGACATCCAGGAAGAATTGGGGAGTGGGGGTAATTCTAGTTCTCAGGCCTAGAGGTGAGAGGTGGGAGTAGAACCAGAAGTGCCCTGGAATCCAGCCTTGTCAGCCCTTACCCCGGGGCTCCCAGGAAAGCATGGCATGCTTGAAGCCCTCTGCTCCCTGCAGAAAGTGGGGAGAGGAGGAGCTTTTTTTTTTTTTTTTTTTTTTTTTTTTGAGACGGAGTCTCGCTCTGTCGCCCAGGCTGGAGTGCAGTGGCCGGATCTCAGCTCACTGCAAGCTGAGGAGGAGCTTTTTCCTTCAGTTAGAGCTTTCCCTTCCCTGCTGCCTCTCTCCCTTAGCTTTGGAGCCCTAAAGTTAGTGGACAAGACACTGGGATAAAGCTCTACAGCTGCTGGAACGTCTGAGTCTGTGTGTGTGCATATGCGTATGCGTATGTGTGTGTGTGTGTGTGTGTGTGTCATTTGCAGAAGTCTTGCTACCAGTTGGGGTGTTAAGAGCATCTCCACTGGGCGGAGACCTGGCATTTGTTTCCACTTTTAAGAGAATGACACGCCCCCTGTCATGTAAGGGAGGAGCTATTGAGTTAGACATTTTCCCTATGGGAATCCTGGGTTTGGTTTATGGGAAAGGAGGGAATGGAGAAGTGATTTTTATCTCTAATCGTCAACACAGCTGTTCTTCCACTGAATTTGTGCTATTGCATACATGTAGCCATCTTTCTTTTCACTGCAGCAGTGTTTATCAGTAGTTGAAAATGATTTATTTGCTCCTGGGGAGTAAAACCTTTTTTATTAAAAAAAGAAAAAGAAAAAAAAGAAGAAAAGTGTGCCCCCCTCCTTCGCCATGATAGCTATAGAATGGTTGGGCCACAAAGGTCAAGTCTGCACGTCCCTGTGGTAGACCCTGCTTTCACATTGGAGCCTTCTCGCTCAGCACAAAACAATCGGAGGCCTTGAGAAAATGGAGAGCAAAGTCTTGGGAGCAGTGAAATGGGGGTTGGATCATAGAGACAGGCACTGGGGACTCGGGTACTGCAGTTAGGAAAGTAGCGTAATGAGTTGTACTGAAAATGATGATTCTCTAGTCTGCCAGAAAAGGACTTTTCTTTACATGCAGATTTCATATTGTCTTTGTCCTTTTCATTGGTTCTTGACCTTCCTGGTAGGTGTCGCTCAGTTTCTTCCTGTTTTCCTTCCTGTCCTCTCCACACCTGCTATCCTGTCCCACTCCCATCTACCTCCCGGGAAGCCAGCCCTGCATGCTTAGTTCATGACCTGCTTCACTCCCATTTCATTTCTAGAGGGTTTAGAGGGGACCTGGAACTGCTCCCTTTCCCTCTCCTACCCGCTCCTCCTCAATGCCAAGAGGCCTGGAGGGGCAGACAGAAAGCTGCTGGCCACAGCGGGAAGACGGGCATGTTTGGTTGCAGCTGGACTGCGATCGTAGTTCCTCCTGGAGATCGAGTGTGAGGAACTTAGGACACTTCCTCAGGCTCTGGGATCATCACATACCACACTGCCCCGCTCAGAGCTTCGTCCTGAACTCCTTAACCAGCTCAGGTGGAGCAGAAGCCTGGTCTCACTCCTCCATCTCTGGTGCTCCCTTGGGTGGGGACCTGCCCCTCACTCTTAGGCCCAGAACCTTGTCCAAGGGACAGGTAGGGTCCAGGTGCCACTTTGGGTAGCTGGCTGTTGGAATGCCCAAACTGGTGCTGCCTGTGGCGTAGCCACTGCTGTACGTTTTTGGTTGTTTTTAAGAAACTCGATGAAGAGGGGTGTCATTCTTGGCTCGGGGTGGTTGCCAATTTTTCACCAGAAAGGGAGCCACCCCCTGCAACCACTTCTGTCCCCGTTAGCCCCCCTCTGACCTCCAAGCCAAAGCGTGGCCTGGCTTTTGTCTTCCCATTTAGTTTTCCTCTTTTGCCCTTCCTTTTGTGCTTAATTTATTAAAATAGTTGCTGTATAATTTATTTTCATAAACTATAAAAAAATACTAAATGGTTAAAATAGACTTGCAGGCCAATCTTAAATGGGGTGGGGGGTCTGAGGGTGGGATGGGGAAAGGGAAAGAGGTTTTGATATAAACAAAACAAATGCACTTTGGGTGTGTTTTGGTATTTTTCTGGGGATAGAGGGGGTGGGGTTAGGGATGTCCCTGTAGATTAGTTCCAGAATGGGGTGTCTGTATATACTGTATTAATAGGCATGTTTGACTCTCGTAAAGGGACATTAGTAGCTGCTGCAGGTCCTGTTTGGAAACCCCATGTACAATTCCCAGTTTTTTGTAAGTGTCAGTGCGAGAGACATTTGACTCTTGTGTTTGTATCTCCTTTTTATGATTGCTGTACCTACCCATGTCTTTTTGGGGAGGGGTGAAAAGAGATTTGAAATAAAAATGTTTAGAAATTATTTCATGTTCTTTGGGTTGGTGTTTTTCACTCCCTGTCCCATCTCATGTGACTCCTGATATGCCCCAATAGGATCTGATGACCCAGCCCCAGGGAATGGGTGATCCTTGTGATGTCAGCCAAGCAGAGTGCACACAGCACTAGGCTTGTCAGAATTAGAGGTGCTGAAAAATCCCTGAGGCTGATGGCTACTGCTCAGAGCTACTTTCTCCTTCCCTAGGAAGTGCAGGAGCATTCCAGAGAGCTTTCTGGGGCTGCCTGTGGCGTTTTTGTCTTGGTGAGCAGTAGCGTGGGGCTCTACCTAGGGAGAGTTCATATTTTACCATAGCAGTCATTCCTAGTATTCCCCGTGGCTGGCACCAAGATTTTTCCTAAGTTTAACCCATAGCCCTCCTGCCGCCTTTCTAGCCTACTGTTGCTTAAGCTGTGCTTTTCGGAGAGAAAAGGACCAGGTTGTTCCTCTGGTTGACAACGTGTGTATAGGCATATCCTGGGGATTTTGTGGGTTCCGTTCCAGACAACCGCAATAAAGTGAACATCACAATAAAGCAAGTTGCACAAATTTTTTGGTTTCCCAGTGCATATAAAAGTCATGTTAGGCCACGCATGGTGGCTCAAGTCTGTAATCCCAGCACTTTTGGGAGGCCGAGGTGGGTGGACCACAAGGCCAGGAGATCGAGACCATCCTGGCTAACACGGTGAAACCCCGTCTCTACTAAAAACACAAAAAATTAGCCAGGCATGGTGGCGGGCGCCTGTAGTCCCAGCTACTCAGGAGACTGAGGCAGGAGAATGGCGTGAACCCGGGAGGCGGAGCTTGCAGTGAGCCAAGATCACGGCACTCCAGCCTGGGCGACAGAGCAAGACTCTGTCTCAAAAAAAAAAAAAAAAAAAAAAGGTTATGTTTACGCTGTTGTGTGTAATCTTTAAAAATAATGTACATTATTTAAAAATACTTCATTGCTAAACAACACTAACGATCATCTGGGCCTTCAGCAAACAGTAATCTTTTCACTTGTGAAGCGTCTTACCACGATGTTGATGGCTGCTGATGGATTAGAGTGGCAGTTGCTGAAGGCTGGGGTGGCTGTGGCAATTTCTTTTTCTTTTTTTTTGTGAGACAGAGTCTCGATCTGTCTCCCAGACTGGAGTGCAGTGGCGCGATCTCAACTCACTGCAAGCTCCGCCTCCCAGGTTCACGCCATTCTCCTGCCTCAGCCTCCCGAGTAGCTGGGACTACAGGAGTCCACCACCACGCCCGGCTAAGTCTTTGTATTTTTAGTAGAGACAGAGTTTCAGTGTGTTAGCCAGCATGGTCTCGATCTCCTGACCTCGTGATCCACCCGCCTCGGCCTCCCAAAGTGCTGGGATTACAGGCTTGAGCCACCGCGCCCGGCCTATTGTGGCGATTTCTTAAGACACCAATAAGGTTTGCTGCATTAATTTGACTCTTATTTTCAAAAAAGATTTCTCTGTAGCATGTGATGCTGTTTGATAGCATTTCCACACAGTAGAACTCCTTTAGAAATTGGAGTCAGCCCTCTCAAATCCTGCTACTGCTTTATCAATTAGGTTTATGTAATATTCTTCTTTGTTGTCATTTCAACAAAGTTCACAGCATCTTCACCAGGAGTAGATTCTATCCTGAGACTACTTTCTTTGCTCATCCATAAGCAGTAACTCCAGACAGATGTGATGGTACGCACCTGTACCCCAGCTACTCAGGAGTCCAAGGCAGGAGGATCCCTTGGGCCTAGGAGTTTAAGGCCAGCCTGGGTAGCATAGCAAGACCCAGTCTCGTCCCTTAAAAAAAGCAACCTCCCGGCCGGCGCGCGGTGGCTCAAGCCCTGTAATGCCCAGCACTTTGGGAGGCCGAGGGCGGCGTGGATCTACGAGGTCAGGAGATCGAGGACTGTCCTCGCACATGGTAACCCCGTCTCTACTAAAAATCAAAAACTAAGCCGGGCGTGGTGGCGGGCCGCCTTGTAGTCCTCAGCTACTTGGGAGCTGAGCGGGAGAATGGCGTGACCGGGAGGGCGGAGCCTTGCAGTGATGCCGAGATCAGCCACTCGGCACTCCGCGCTGGAGCCACAGCGAGACTCCCGTCTCAAAAAAAAAAAAAAAAAAAAAAAAAAAAAAAAAAAAGCAACTCCCTCTGTTTTAGTTTTATGATAAAATTGTAGCAATTCAGTCACATCTTCAAGGCTTCACGCTCTAATTTAGTTATGCTGTTCCACACAATCTGCGAGTTACTTCCTCCAGCTGAAGTTTCTTGAACCCCTCATGGTTATCCATGTGGGGTTTGGAATTAACTTCTTTTTTTTTTTTTTTTTGAGATGGAGTCTCACTGTCACCCAGGCTGGAGATGCAGTGGCTCGGATCTCAGCTCTCACTGGCCAACGCTCCGACCCTCCCGGGTCCACGCCATTCTCCTGCCCTCAGCTCCCGATAAGGCTGGGACTACGGCGCCCCGCCGCCCTCGGCCCCGGCTAGTTTTTTGGTCATTTTTTCAGTAGAGACGGTGGGTTTCACACAGGTTTGCCAGGGATGGTCTCGTCTCCTGACCTCGTGGATCGCACTTGTCTCGGCCCTCCCAGATGAGTGCATGGCGATACAGCGCTTGAGCCCAACCGCCGCCCGGCCGGATTAACTTCTTTCAAACTCTCTGTTCATGTTGATAACTGTGACCTCCTTCCATGAAATTTGCCGTGATATTTTTTTTTTTTTTTTTTTGAAATGGAGTCCTCCTTCTGTCAACCCCCAGGGCCTGGGGTGCAATGGCGCGGATCCTCGCTTCATCTGCCCCAACCTCCACCCGCTGGGTTCAAGCGACTCTCCTGCCTCAGCCTCCCGAGTAGCTGGATTACAGGTGTGCACCACCATGCCCGGCTGATTGTATTTTTAGTACAGACGGGATTTCACCATGTTGGCCAGGCTGGTCTTGAACTCCTGACTCAGGTGACCCACTGGCCTCGGTCTCCCAAAATGCTGGGATTACAGGTGTGAGCCACCGCGCCTAACATGAATTTCTTAATGGCACTAAAATGGTGGGTCCTTTCCAAAAAAAGGTTTTCAATTTCATTGCCTATCCATCAGAGGAATCAATATTTATGGCAGCTGTAGCTTTATGAAGGTTTTCTTTTTTTTTTTTTTTTGTTTTCTGAGACAGAGTGAGACTCGGTCGCCCAGGCTGGAGTGGAGTGGTGTGATCTCAGCTCACTGCAACCTCTGCCTCCCAGGTTCAAGCCATTCTGCTGCCTCAGCCTCCTGAGTAGCTGGGACTACAGGAGCCTGCCACCACGCCCCGGTAATTTTTTGTATTTTTAGTAGAGGCGGAGTTTCACCGTGTTTGTTGGCCAGGATGATCTTGATCTCCTGATCTCGTGATCTGCCCGCCTTGGCCTCCCAAAGTGTTGGGATTACAGGCCTGAGCCTCCGTGCCCAGGAATAATGTATTTCTTAAATAATAAAACTTGAGGGCCAGGCGGAGTGCCTGATGCCTGTGATCCCAGCACTTTGGGAGGCCAAGGTCGGCAGGTCACCTGAGGTCAGGAGTTCGAGACCAGTCTGGGCAACATGGTGAAACCCCGTCTCTACTAAAAATGCAAAAATTACCTGGGTATGGTGACACACACCTGTAATCCCAGCTACTCAGGAGGCTGAGGCAGGAGAATTGCTTGAACCTGAGAGGTGGAGGTTGCAGTGAGCCGGGATCACACCACCAACTGCACTCCAGCCTAGGCAACAGAGCAAGACTCCATCTCAAAAAAAAAAAAAAAGAAAGAAACTGGGGCTGGGCACGGTGGCTCATGCCTGTAATCCCAGCACTTTGGGAGGCTGAGGCGGGTGGATCACCTAAGATCAGGAGTTCAAGATCAGCCTAGGCAACATGATGAAACCCTGTCTGTACTAAAAATACAAAAATTAGCCAGGTGTGGTGATGCATGCCGGTAATTCCAGCTACTTGAGAGGCTGAGGCATGAGAATCGCTTGAACCCAGGAGGCGGAGGTTGCAGGGAACTGAGATCATGCCACTGCACTCCAGCCTGGGCAACAGAGAGAGACTCCATCTCAGAAAAATAAATAAGACTTGAAAGTCGAAATTACTCCTTGATCCATCAGCTGCAGAATGGATGTTGTGTTTGCAGGCACAAAAACAACACTCATCTCCTTGTGCAGCTCCATCAGAGCTCTTAGATGACCAGTTGCATTGACTTCCTGCCTCAGCTGCCTGAGTGGCTGGGACTGCATGTGCCACTACGTCTGGCTAACTTAAAAACTTTTTTTTTATTTTGGTAGAGAAAAGATCTCGCTATGATGCCCAGGCTGAAGGGCAGTGTCACGATCATAGCTCAATCCAGCCTTGAATTGCTGACCTCAGGCAATTTTCCCCCCTTGGCCTCTCAAAGCACTGAAATTATAGGCATGAGCCACTGTGTCCAGCCTAGCATTCTTTTGGAAACAATGGGACCCAAATAAAACCCCTTCCCACTGTCTTCACCTCCAAAACCTGAAACTACCTGCTTCATCTCCTCATCACAAAGGCTGTTCCGTCAAACCTCTGCAGTGGAGTTTCCTCACACACATACTTACTTGAATTCAATGATAAGCACTTGGCAAGTAATAGTGCCAGAGATTCTTTATTCATTCCATTGTATGTCCCCTTGATTGAAGGTGAGACGGAAACAGTAAGTTTTATGTCTCTTGGTTCCCTCCAGCCTCTTATAGTGTGAACATCTCGCACATAAGGATTCTAGTGCATATTTGTACCACGTGGATTCTGAAGACCAACTGTTTTCACTGGTGCTCAGCCAAAGGCACAAGAGTCGACTCCAGCTCAGGAGAGGTACTAGCTGATCCCTAACAGAGCGCCTCCCTAGGGGGTTTTTGAGAGGAATTTTGCAGCTTCCTCTGCTGCACAGATTCCCGTTGAAGCTGTGATTTCACCATACATCTGTCTATTGCCATGTCCTCACTAGGCATTCTCCTTTGTGAACCTGG